TCACAGTTTTGATTAACTACCATCAGTTCACATCTTCCATTATGCTAAGAGGGCATGTGGGAGAGCCTGTGCCTTCCCTGTCAATATTCCAATATGAGAAGTGGGTAGTCTTTGAATACTTCAGTGAGTTGTGACCCTGACTTACTAGTTTACTAGTACGGTAGTTATCATCCAGCCATAAAATTTTACTTCAATATGCCTAATGGCAGATGGGTCACCAGAGCTGTGCCCATCTCCTGGTCTCTGCTACATTTTCTGGGCTGGTTGCTGGGTTTGAGATGGTGAGCAGGAAAGGTGGGTTTTTTTATTTATTTATTTATTTATTATTTTTTTGGGGGGGGGGGGGTCATCCTGTTCTGGTTTTTATCCAACAGCTGCCATCAGATAGTTGTGGTTAACCCATGCAAACAAGGAAAATGGTTGTAAGATATTGATGACAATGATGATGGTTAGCTCCTGCCTACCAGACATCATGTTCAGCAGTACAACCAAGATTTGCACTCAATATTTCTCCCCTGCCAGAGCAAAAGATTTCAATATCATGTATGTTAAGAGCATTTTTTCCACGGAGATCCATGGAACAGTCTACCAGCTAAAACCATGGAAGCAAGAACAGCAATGAGCTTCAAAATAGCCTTAGACATGACTATCAAAAACAATTGGGGATCCTAAACAGGCCATTGATCTCCTTCCCCTGTCAATGTCACCACTAATTGGAGTGGCTGTTAGGTACAGTAAATGAAGTAAAACACATACTGTATGCATAACATCTTGCTTCAAATATCTCAGTCTTTAGCAAGGAGCCCCCTGATGAATAAATTTGATAATGAGAATGGTCTGATCTCTTCCTGCACCACTTAATGAACAAAAAATATAAATGTTTTGAAGTATAGTATATACTGGAGTTATTTATATGAAAGCCCAAGCTGGTCCCAGCACCATCTGCCTCCAACATCAAGAAACTTCAAGATCCCCCCCTAAAAAATAAAGGCCTTGCAACAATTTACTGGTTGCAATAAATCCACAAATATTTCCATCTACATTCTGAATCAAGAATATGCACAAGACTAACCCGACATTAGGGGCACACAGTTTACTGCCTTGGCACAACTCTCCCCCATCCTGATGATAAAAAATGCACAACAGCACAGCAATACTTCCACACTCTAGACTACCTATAGTACAGTGATATCTCTGTTAGCCGGAACAATTGGTGCAGAGCACATCCGGGAATGAGAGATTTCTGGGTAACGAGACAACTCTCTCAAAGCTGGAAAAAATCCCCCGTCCCCGGAATTTTCCGGGTTACGGAAAAATATTCTCAGAAGTTTCAGAAATTGTGCATTACAATATTTTGGAAAAATATCCTCCATCCCCCAAATTTTCAGGACACCGGAAAAATTTCCTTGGAATTTCCGGAAAATACCCGATTTTCATGTCTCAAACCCAGAATAAAAATCCCCCATCCCCAGAATTTTCCTGGTACCGGGAAAATTGTCTCAGAATTTTCCAGAAAATGTGCCCCTCGGAAAATCATTCCCAATGCTGGAATTTTCCAAAATATTCCGGCTATCAGAGAGTTCTGAGTTTGAGGAATTCTGGCTAACTGAGATATTACTAACCCATCAGCATCTCAGAAAACAGTTACCTACAAATACCTGCAACCTAAGACTCCAACCAAAAAGTAGAATGTACATCTTCACCTCTCAGAAACCACTCTAACCTGAGAAATAGCAATACTGTACTGTACAGTACTGTATATATCACCACACTACCCACTGGTCATAACTGTTGCCTATACAGCTACTCCCCGACTTACGACGGGGTTAGGGACCCAAATCCAGGTCGTAAGTTGAAATGGTAATAAGTCGAAAATGCTTAAATAATACATAGAAAATCTAAAATGGGTCTCTCTTTCTTCTCGGCACCACAAAACACTCACTTTTAAGCTTGCCAGCCATTTTAAAGTGAATTACAAAAGAAAATTTTGTCTGTGTACTGACTTTGGGACTCGAAAATATGTAATTTGACCAAATTTTGGTGGTCGTAAGTCGAGTAGGTCATAAGTTGGGGAGGAGCTGTACTGTATCAATATCAACACTGTATCAACTCACTCAGAATTCACTGTCTTCACTGCAATGTTCCCCCCACCCCCCCCCTTCCCACACTACAACTCACATGCTTGACACTGAACCAACACATACGAGTATAATACATTAACATAATTTCCACAAAATATCTCTGGGAGTGACTTGCAGTTGTTGCTAAATACTTGTGGTTTATGTAGCAGAGACTACAACAACCAAACATTGTAGTTTCCATTACCTCACATAAGACAGGTTAAGTATAGATATAAAATACAGTATGATTATTCAACAATATACTGTACTGTACTTGCTAAATGTATCTTTAATATCAAAAGGCTGAAAGTACATTCACTTTATAGTACAGTTATACAGTAACTTCATATTCTAGTAGGTTATATATACTGTAGTGTACTATATACACTAGCTACATCTCTATACTGTAACTACATTATACTTGCTGAACTATGCTAACCTCACACATAGAGATCATACAAAGAAGAGAACCTTTAGAGGAATCAATGTCTTGTCACTGTGGCAAATAAAATAAGTAAATTCACATTTATAATTATAATAAATCGGAACTTACAATGATTATAAATCTGACAGGTGAAACTTTACTTGAAAGATCAACCAGGGGAAGACAAATGCAGCTGAAAGATAATACTATCAGTGAAAATTTTCAAATGTCTTCTTTACTGATCACATTCAACATTTCCAATGGCATCCATCAATTCATGGCCTTTTGTAATTGATTTTTACATAAACTTCTTCTTAATTACATTTACCTACTGCCATTAAATGATCATAATATATCAGCAGACTGTAGTACTAACAAGGTCTGTGGACAATTATATCAATTCCAGATCAAATGGCATCAGCACTTTTGGTGTTAGGTCAAACAGGGAATCACTTATAAGTAATCCATGGTCCCTTTGGTCTAAGTATGGATGAAAATAATAATGACTGCCTCTATGAAACTAAAAAAAAAAAGGGTGGTAATGAGCAGCTACAGTTGTCCCTACAATGTTATCTCAAGGATTGATGTGAATGAGATTGACATTAGTATATGATGATGATTCTGTATTGTACATCATAGTGGTTGTCACCCCATGATCTGAAGCAACATACAGTACTGTATTACACTAAACCAGTCCTCAAAGCCTCCTTGATAAATTTGGTACGGTACAGGTTGACCATCGATTATTATCTGACAATCACTGGTCTGGATAAAATGTTCAGGTGGAAATTTCACATTGGTTCCCATGGTTCCTGTGCACTGTCTACTGAATCACCGCTTTGGTTTTTGTGTTACTGGCATACCACAACCCCATCAAAACATTTCATTTCCAGTTATTATCTCTTATTGCTGTTATTTAACCCCAACTATGTCCGCAAAGAGAGGAGCAAGTGTTACTGGTGGCACAAAGTGCAAACATCATTCCTTATCAACACAGGCACTCCCTGAGTTACGGCTATCTAAGTTATGATCATTCACACTTACAATCATCGCTCTATTATATTCTTAAAAAATAAAAAGCGACTTATGACCGTTTATAATACTGAACTCGCGAACCAAACATGGAGTGCTTTTCTTTGTTCGGAACACCATGCCAGCTCCCCCACTGAGCCAGCTAACTTATGTAAAAAGGAATGCATGTTCCCTTCATGTGTTTGCCCTTATGACATTTATTTTTTTTACTTTTTTTCACAATATGTATGCAGGATGGTGTGTGCATGTAACCACGTAAAAATAAACGAAGAAAGTTACTTATACCTACCCAAAAATACGAGTTGATAAACAATCATAACACCTCACTGCTTGTCCCAGTAGCCTGGTAGTTACAGTGAAGAGTCTAACTTAGCTACAATGCCGCCAGCAATATTAACAGATGCAAATGTGAAAAGAAAGTTATCTGTAAATCTTCATTTGTATCAGGTACTGTATCACATTACATAACATTTCAACATATGGAGCAAGAAAGCAAAAAATTGGAGGTGATTAGAGAGATGGAGTTGAAAGGAGTGTTGCCAAGCACTCCTCTATAGCTGATCTTTAATTTGCTACTACGCAGTCACACACTTTATGAATCAGTACATATTTTATTGAGAAATTACGAGTTATGAACAGATCGACTTACGATCAGGGTCCAGGAATATATCCCTGTCGTACGTCGGGGAGTGCCAGTACATGAAAAGGTAGATCATGATAAAATCACACAGGAAAAAGGGAAACAATGGAGCACCTTAGCTTTTGTCTTTATTCAAGACATCTTCAGTTGCCTCTGAAGATGTCTTGAATAAAGACGAATGCTAAGGAGCTCCATTTTTCCTATGTGGTTTTATCAAGATTTATCTTATCCACATTTCCATTGTGGATCTACATGAGAAAGGTAAAATTTAAAAACAAAACTCAACAGTGGTATTTCAGTACAAAGCTTGTGTGATTTACATGGTGTAAATTCGTCCACAATGTGATATATACAGTACTGTATATGGGTTCAATACTGTACTGAATATGAAATTTCAATTTACGGCAAGATTTTTTGGAACCTAACCCTTCCGTACATCGAGGGAGAACTGTACTGCATTTTTTTAAATGCAGATTTGACATACAGTACTGTATTTGTTTATGATATATTATTCAATATTTATTTTCCAGCATCCTAGGATGATTTTAAAGTTAGTGTGAGTTGTAAGTGTTCAGGTAAATCGGTGGTCAATCTATAATGCTTTTACTTTTATCCTCTTAGCCACTGATCGGCTCATTTGCCACTTGGGTTGTTGGTCACATCTCTGTTACACACTGTTGGCAAGTACTGGGCATGTACTGGCTCCGGAAAGCATCTGTACCTGCACCAGCGTTGGTCAAGTCTGGTCTTGAAAGAGCTCACACTCTGTGCCATCACAACATTCTCTGGTAGTGTGTTCCAAGAGTTTACAATTCTCTCTCCGAAAAAGTTTGCCCTAACAATTTCCTGGACTTGTGGCTTCAACGACCTTGAACTGTGACCCTTGTGGAGTGGGCATCTGCCAGCATCTGCGTTCTTGTATGTCAGAGAGTCAGGCCAGTGAATATCCCTCATCTCCTCCCTAATCCTATCGTAATCGCCCTTGTAATATTTGAACCTTGGCCTGCTTTTGTCATGAACCAAGCAAGTTAAATCTGAAGGACAACATTATGTGGTGACTGGTGCTGACAGGGGAGAGGTGTTCCAGTTTGGCCACCATACCCTCCTCGTTAGTTATGATGAGGTCCAGCAGTTTGGATGTTTGCTCCCCTCTGTAGCGAGTCAGATCTTTAACATGTTGGAATAGAAAATTGTCTGTTTCTACAAAAAGAGTAGCGGGATCATTAAGGTCATTTGGCACGGTTTCATTTCTATAGTTGATGTCGCTATAGTTGAAGTCTCCCATGACAAGGAGGTACTGTATCTGTAGTTAACCGCCGTACATTGTCAATTAAGGCTCGTAAGTTCCTTTGGTTTAATAAGCTACAGTTTGGGGATTTGTAGATGCACCCAACAATAAGCAGGTCTCTCCCCTTTAATATAATTTTACACCAAATTGATTCTTCAAAAACATCCTCCTCTGTACCCTCACCTGGTTGGCTCTAAGGTCTTGCCTAGCATAAAAACAACACCCCTCTTGTAAGTTACTTGAGAAAGGTTCATAAATGAGTCATATCCATCTACTGTACAATATATTGAACTCACAGTCCTCCAGGTTGAGTTTCCTGTTCGAGTAGGATTTCAAACACCACTATCTTATCAAGGAAAGTGTTAGTATTAGTATCAGCAGCCGCCTTATTTACAAAACTCATTGTAATTTGTGGGGTGTGGCCAGAGAAGACATTGTTTACATGGCACTAGCCTCCTGGGTGGGAGGTAGAGGGGTTGACAGCATTAAAATATAAATACTGTATTTTATCAAGGTTTCATTAAAGGAATTAAAATAAATGCACACAAAAAAAGAATCCCCAGCTAACATATTAAAGAGAGGTAATATCACTAATAGGAATATAAGTCCATCCACAGTTTTGCAATTTCTTAATGTCTGACCGTGAAACCAGAATAGGAGAAACATACAGTTCCCAAGATCTTCGGTCACTGGTCATCCTTGGTAACTCGCACAGACTTTCCACAGCTATCTTTTCAAGCCTTAACAATTTCAAAATTCTCAAGTCCTGGAATTGTGTTAGATGTTGCAATACGGATTCAAAATTATTTACTCTTCCTTCAATAGAAAGTGTCTGTAGCTTTGGAAACATTTTCAGGAGGCACTTTAATGGTTCTTGCCTAAAGCGACCCGACTTGCACACAAGTGAAGTTATATTTTCAAAACATGGCATTTCCTGAACACCAAAGTGATCACATTGTATACCACGGTTAAAGGCTAAAGTTAAATCCTGAAGACGTGGACACACTTGTAGCAGTGATGAAATACACCTCTGGGGCATTTCATAATAACTACAGGTACTTGACTGAAGCCTAAGCACAGTGAGTTGTAATCCAATACCAGCTAAAATCTCAGCAGGAGACACATCTGGATCAAAAAATTTTAAGTCCACATGAAGTTCTCTTAGGAATGGGAAACTATTAGAAACCTGTGAGATGTCACTGCCCAATGCTGTTAACTTCAATGTTTCAAGTTTGGGTGCAACACGTGAAAAGATGTCTATCATATCTTTATGACAGTACACAGAATTGGTCTTCAGGGACAGTTTATGCATATTTGGAACTTGTGTCTGCAGTTCATAAAATGTTCGGACAGCTTTATGTACATCTACAACTCTACTTGCTAGGGAATGCAATTTCTTAAACACTATAAGAATCATCAGTATAAAGTCCTGCTTCACTCTACAAAACCCACTCGAGAAATCAGTAAGGTGTGGCCAGGTTGGGTTGAGATCTAATGGCTTTCTTCGTCGTACACTCTCCAAGAGCTCTCCTGAATTGTGTATTTTAGAACCTAAAACAATATCTATTAGAACATCTTCAAAAATTCTAGGCTCCCAAACAAGTCGTTCACTTATGTGGAGAATGGTGAGAGGACAGGCCTTTGCTGCAAGCAATACATCTGGAGTTGTGTTGCCTCCCAACTTGAGGACACTGAGTTCTGGACACAAAGGTAACAACACCTCTAACACACTCAAATCTTGAATGAGATCAATACCTGTGAAATCCAGTTCCTGAAGCCAATACTCTCCACTAAACACACCATTCACTGAGAAGAAGGCCGAGGAAGATAGACTTGGTAACTGTCGAACTACTGGGATAATGGTGATTTTACGAATTTTTACAGCTAACAGGGTTAAAATTGGGCAAGTCATCTCATAAATATCATTTTCTTGGTGCTCATGCAGGAAGTGGGTATGCAGTAGATGCGTATGCAGGAGTTGAGTGGCACGAGCAGGGACACATGGCGGCAGGTACCATAGATCCGCCCACACGTGACCCACATCCCTCCATATTGCCTGCAACACAATACAGGTGCTGTGTAAACTATCTTGGCACTTATTTAGCATTGTACTGGGTAAGGACTCACTAACCAAATGTCATGCAAGAAAGAATACTTTTAAGTCAAACTTTTGACTGCATGTTAGTTGGTAATAGTTGTGAACCATCTAAAATAAAAAAATAAATAAAAAATGGACAAACAAGGATAAGATACTGTTGTGGGGAATGTCAGCTATCAGCAAGTTGAAACTATTCCAAAACATGTGTATGCTACCTGTTTAACATTAATATACTGTACAACGAAACATTCAAACATATATCAGTGTAATACTGTATCATAAGGGGGTCCTCGTTATAATGAAACCACTTATAAAGGGGAATTAATTCCCATAATTAATAGGGTCTAATTGGGACCATCACATTGTAAGGGAGTTTAATTCGACATCTTTTAACATTTTATATATACCTTAAAATCATTTGTTAAACAATTGATTCCACAATATTTTATGAAATTATTCAACTCAACTTAGTTAAGGTATTTAAAGTCATTAGAGGTCAGTGTGTTGATGTGGTGCAAGCTACAGTACCTAACCATGCACTTGCACTCTCATTTCAGTGAAAGTGGTTCATTGAGACACCTCACCACTTTTCTTATATGTCCCTCTCATAGCTACTATGCTTTCTTTTAGCCACTACACCACCTTGCTTCTGTTTGGAAATGGGGAGGGGCTAAAAAAAGTCCACCAAAGGTCCATAAAGTTGATAATTATAGTTTTTGGAGCACTTCAAAATAATGCCTGTGGACACAGGAGACTGGTACCGAGCATGTATTGTGCGGGCGATAAGGATGCACTTTAAGAGAATGTGAGGCGTGCAGAAGGATCAATCGCTCAAAATCTTGTGCTCCCAATGATCGACGGATTTCAGTCACAGAATCCTCTTCACTTTGGGGACTTTTTACGTTTAGTTCCACAATTATTTGACCACTTAAGTGCAAAACCATCTGAAAATACTTATAACAGGGACCCCTATATGTACATTACTATAGGACTACAGTAAGGCAACATCATGATGCTACAAATTCTAATTTTAAGGTTAAATATTTCAGAAAACATTACCCATCAACAAAAATAAAAAATTACCTCAAATTTGTTGTCTCATGGGTACTTTCAAGACAAAACACAGCTGCCGGCACACTGCTCTCCATACACTCCGGAGGTGAATTTTGTGGCTATGTGGGTTTTAAACCAAGGTATTCACCAAAAGCAAGGTCTCCAATTTAGCTGCACAGTACAATATTTTGCACATAACAGTACTGTACTGACATCCCTGTGACATATGGTACATATATTTTGGGCTGGAGAGAGGAGTAATGAATGAAACAAGAACAAGATTACAGTATTTGCTTTATTCAATAAGAAAAAATAAATAAACATTCACAGTTGAGTATCGACATGAAACTCGATATTTTTCATCCAATGTCAAAATAGTATTTTCTAACAGACATCAATGAACCATTAATTATAACACTGGAGCATACTGTACATGCCAAATCAACACACACTGCAGTCATTCCTAGCCTATGCAGATGACAAATTCTCCACAGGGTCAGAAGGACATTTCTTTGATCCCTTCCAGAATTACTTTCTATACATTAATGCAAAAACATCAGTTAAGTCCCAGCACAAACATCCAAATAGTAAACTGGTGACTCACTTCTGCACCCTTATAAAAATCTATACGGTAATGCAACTCCACTAGACCCTCACTACAAAATGTCATGTTATACCAACATTTTCCTCATTAACTCTGCACACTTTGGCCATTTAAATAAAGATAAACTGGGGAAAAGTGACTTTTAGGTTCATCTTCAATAAGTGTTTGTTTTCTTCCTGATCTTCACAGAAATGTTTTTAATGCACAATGTAAATCATTTAACTATCGTTTCACCACTTATCAGCTTATTAGCTGTTCAGGCAGTTGGTCCATTATTTGTTACTTTATTATGCACTTTATTTATCCGGTGTTAATACAAGAAGAAACCGGAGTATCAGACTGAAACCTATGAGGTTTGGTAGAATCATTCTGGATAACACCCTTCTCACATGTCTCCAGGCCAAGCAGGACCTCAAACCCACAACATGGAAACAAGGAAAATAACTGCTCCTTTAAAAATGTTAATCAAGTGTACTGTATTAATTCTTGTAACTCAAGACAATTTTGCACCTATATTATTTATATTTTTTATTTTATTTTATTTATTTTTTAATAAACTATTGCCAGGACTCCAGTTCTTTTGAATGCAAAAACCAACTGAACTAAAGATACAGTCCCAACTAACTGTACTATTCAGGATTTGAGAATACAGTATACATTTCTCACTTGTGTATATAGTATAACTAGAAATCTGGTGTCACAATTTACCATTTCTTTGTAGAAATATTAATCAAATCAATAGTCAATAATATATGATGTACCGTACACTATGAAGTGCTTGGGGAACTGCAATTCTGCTTAGCTGGAAATACACCTAAGACTGTCAAATGATTAAGAACATCTTGAGGATCAAAAAACTGGTGCCAGCACTCAGACACTACACTTAATCCTCAAGTGGAAGCTAAGGATTCTATACTCTGCCCCCATACAGTATGTGCTTAGGTTCTTTTATGTTTTTAATCCCAAATAATTGTTCTGCTTCGAAGCCCTGCCTACCTTTGGTGAGATCAAGATTGATAAGGTAGGAAGGGTCTAACTCAATAATTATACACTTCCCAAAATTTTCAATACCACCACTGTATTCAGCATTAAAAACTATTATAAAAGTCTTTCATGGCTAAATTGTATAACTGTTTGCAAAATAATGTTAAAGATGGAGGAGGCAGTTAGCACCAGAAATAACATATAGAATTGAACCAAAATGTCTGGAGAATCTACTGTATTTGCATGATACTGGAATATGAAAATGGAAGTGAGATTGCACAGAACCTATTAGAACCTGACCTAACCTACCTTACTTTCTAACCTGTGCATCTATTAAAAATTAAATTAAATCCAATAAAAATCTTAATAAACACCCAATGAGACCGTCGTCAATTTTTTAAAATGTAAACAAAAACCACGGACGCTCCCATAAAGCAGACAATGTGAATCATAACATGGTTGCCACAGGAGAGCCAATAGCGCCATTATTACAGTAAATATTTTATTCACCTACAGGATTTATAGACCTGAAATTACTGCCATTGTGATCAGTGTTCAGTGTTTTTACCCCATTATTTCCCTCTTCTTACATGCCCTGTTCACTAACAAGTAATTTATGATCGAAGGATAGGTTAAAAAGAAAAAGGTAATTTATTCAGGTAAAGGTGGAGGAGACTTGGCACCAGAAGGACTTTTATGGAATTGCACCAAGTTTTTCGGAGATGTTTGGATGATAGCGAGTAATTAAATTGAGGCAACTGCACAGTAATTTTTTTTTTTGGGGGGGGGGGGCCATTATTCACTTTTCGCACATTCCCCTCTTATATGAAGAAAAAAAACTGGTGTATTTTAGTGTGCTTTAGTCAAATATGGCCTTCATTTCTTGTGAAAATTAGCCTTTTTTTTATTCAAAAAAATCAACCTTAGCATTTGCACCATTAACTTTAAATATTGATTTGTCACTAAAAATATATATATTTAGGGTAGTAAGAAACACTAGAAGAGGAATGAGTGAAAGACGAGTATTAACTGTAAAGTATATTTGCACAAGTCACCTGGTATTGAATTTGGTAAATATTTGGATTAAGGGGTTTTACTCAAATCTGACCATTTTGGGGGCAAATTTTGTAAAAAAAAAAAAAAAATTAATTATTTTTTTAACAAAATTCTCTCCTTTGCACAAAAAATGATGATCAGATTTCAATAAAACACACCTAAATACACCAAAAATCCTATTCTCATAATTTAAACATCCAAATCACTGGACGATTCTCTCGCAAATGACGGTTAATATACAGTATAGGACTAACCCACCGGTGCGGCCATATCATCTCGCGTCCAGAAAATATCTCAAATTTCACCAGATCATAGTAAGTTCTCTCTGTTTAATATACCAGGGAAGTTAGGTAGGTTTTTTGTTTAGGTCTGTTCTTCATACCCACAAATTTTAAGTAGTGTTTATTTTCAAAATATCCATTTTTAACATTTCCTCAAGCTACAAGTGTCCACTGTAATATAACAATGAAAATATGACGTTTTTATATTTGTTTTCAATCAATTTCGCTCGCGGGTTAGTCCTATATAATTACCTAAGTGACCTAATCTGACCTCCTAACCGGGGACCCCTGGCCTATACAGTACAATTCATTTGAGAAGGTAACGTCATAGTCTTAGAATTATTTAAACTGTGGATTGCAACCATAAATTTCTAACATTTCAATACCAAGTGACTTGTGTAATAACTTCAACCGTATGTTAAAAGATAGGAGATTGAATTTTCAAATTGTTTAGTCTGGAAAACTCACCTCATAGTCATTGCACATCCGCTGGTAACAAGCTGTGGCATTGACGAGATGGTCTATGCACAAGTCCAAGAGTGGTTTAGGATGCATTTGTACAATTATGCCTCCTTAACGCCTTGCCCACATTTTCTCTTGTCTTACGATTAGTGTCAGTGACTAATAGTTAATAACGAACAAGGGTTATATAGTCGAGTAGCTCACCAGACGATGCCGGCGTGTTGACAGTATATGTATTAGAATGTTAGGACAGTACGACGAACACTGCCATTTTCTTTGAATTCTTTGAAAAATGACAACCCCATTGTAATCTTGCCAAATAATCCTAGATATTTTTCACGCAAATATATATATATATTCAGTTTATTTAACCTGAAACAAACACTTTCATGGGTCTATTACTAGTTTTAACATCGGTCTAGGACTCTAGGTAGTAGGTAGCTATCAAACGGAGTACTTGGAAGCATAATGTGTTGTCTAATGGTGACAAATCCCAGGTTGCTGATCTGTCTTTCTACCTCATTTACACACAATTGCAGGGTCTCAATTGTTTCTCTTACTTTGACAACACAACATACATAGTGTATAATGTTTCTCACTACTGTTTGTTTTTATTTTTGTATTTCTTTATAGTTCTTTGTTATTATTATGAACTATTCTTATTTAATTTTTAATTTTGTATTTTTATTAATTTTATTTACGATGAATTATTATTATAATTAATTATTAATTATTATTATTATTATTATTATTATTATATTCCCCCGGCCCCGAAGTGGGTCATTAACCTGTGCCCGGGTCGGTTAATACTCGTAAAAAAATAAAAATAAATAAATCATTTCGGTAACTGGGGCTGTGTATTAACACTATTCACCAAGAATATAAAAAAAAAATCTTCTTGCACTAAAAAGGTTAATCTCTTGAAAGTCCGCTGCCGTTAGCCATGTATTTTTATTGTAGTATAATATTTGAATAAATACAAAGTTTGGGCGATCATAATGTATAATAAAATTCAAATATTTACACAATATACTCAAATGGGTGCTACTATAGTATGCGGTCTACCGAGCAGGAGTCGGTCTACCCGGATATTTACACTAAAGTATGCGGTCTACCTAGCTGGAGATAATCCTACCCGCCATTGTAGCAGACAGATACAGTACATGGTCACCTGAACTGAGGGCACTAATACCCGACATGAAGTGACGTAGAATATAAAAGGGGGAATCATGAAGACAAAAATTGTCGTTCTAAAGTTCAAGTGAAGAACATCAGTGTCGAAAAATTTTTGGTGCTACTAACAATGTTGCGTAGAGGATAAAAGTAAAAAAAAGTATTGGTTACCGCCATTTTACGGTCAATCACATACGTCGATCCTGTTTCAAGAGTAAATACCCAAGCGATTGAGCGGTCATGATTGGACGTTAAAACAAAGAAAATGAGTCAGCAAAAAGCTACTTCAATCTCATCTTGATCATTTTGCTGGAAAGTTCTAAGAAAAGATGCAGATTTATTTGTAGCATTCTTAAATGATATACGAAGACAGTGTATATCGTTTAAGCATGTGATGTAAAATTGTATCATGTAATATTCAGTGTGTGATATAATTTTGTAAAATATGTGACATTGACTCGATAAACTGTTTAGCACATAATGTTTAATTTATTTACATAAATAATAGATCTCACGTTATACCGTAGTGTAAATCTGCTGGTATACCGCACACCATAGTAGCCAGCTCGGTAGATCGCATCATAGTAGCACCCTCAAATGTTAGCCTATTAATAAAGAAAATTTAGCAATCACGACAAATGAGAAACATTGAAAAATACTCAAAATTGCCAGCCAGTCAATTATATCAACTAAAACAAACTACTCGGCTTGTCAAGATTCAATAAAATATTAAAAATTTCAATGCCATACAAGTGAAATGCATTAATTGTCAATTTATAAAATCCTTAACTTTAAAACTCACTGCACACCAGACAAACATTGTACTAATTTAGAATTATTAAAATGGAATTAATCACCCCGTGCACAACCTCATATACGGTCGATTCGTCCTTCACCCAAGAAGGTAAAATCTAAACCTCAACTTCAGTGATCGCCATATGGGCTTACAGGTATGAATGTCCAACCACAGGCTTGGAGCTTCTTCCTGTCACGTAGAAGGACAGAGGTGGCAGGAGCTTGTAACTCCCACATTTGGTTTTCAGGGGTGAATCTCGGCATCTCACATAGGCTACCTACACCAAATCTCTGCATTACTCGTACTTTCAGAATTCTCAAGCTTAGCAGGCGTTTTACGTACGTCAGCAGAATGTTCACACTATCTACTTTACCTACGATTGTCAAAGATTGCAACATTGGAAACATTTTGAGAAGGCAGCGCAAAGGTTCATGTTTCAGTTGCACTGACTGGCACTTTAGAGAAAGCAAGTTCTTAAAAGTAATCTTTTCATGATCACCAAAGTGGACACACTTCATCCCATGGTCAAACGCCAAGGTTAATTCCTGAAGAGCTGGACACACTTTGAGAAATGCTGCTATGTCCATCACGTGTATCTCGTCAAGTTTCCCGCCATAAAACTCCAGCACCCGCAGTTTTAAGCCAAGGTAAGAGAAAACCTCCGGGTAGGGTTCTCCAGGCCCAAAGTGTTGCAACTCAAAGATTCTCAGTGATGTGAGGGCAGGGAAGGCTACATGAAGATTCATGAGCTCGTTATTAAAGCAATGTGTACTCTGACTCCGGGCAATGATTCTCAGATCTTCAATACCATTTGCAACATAAGGCAAGTACCCCATAAACCCAACATTGACAAACACAGTAAAACTACGGAAGGAAAGCCTATGTAGATTTTGCATTAACCTTGCCAAGGCAAAATACTGGGAAAGTATCACTTGCGAATCAATCAGGTTTGTTGTTATACTACGAATGCCAGGAAAAACTACAAGCAGCAGGATAAGGAAATCCTGTCGAACATTACAAGCTCCGGAGTGAAACTCAACTAGTTTAGGCCACGTTGGGTTAACAAATGGCTTCTTCCCTCGGGTTATATCATACAAAACCTCCGATGCGCAGAGAATTGTGGACCCTAAAAGGAGTTCCATTAAATTTTCCTGGTGTATTTGTGATCTACTTCGTGTTCGTTGACTAATGTGAAGAACCGATAAAGGACATGGTTGTGCGGCATATAATATTTCAAATGAAGTATTGACCCCGAGCTTAAGAGAGGAAAGGCCTGTGCACCAAGGCAAGAGACCTAACAGGAACCTGGAGTACTGACCTAAGTCTACGCTTGCAAGGTTCAGCTCACGCAAATGAGGTTGTGAAGTGTATATCCCGCTCTTTGAAAACACGTCCAGAGAGAGAGTCCTTTCCACAAGTAGGTCGATTCTTGTAATACTAATCCTAGGAGATTTTGAACCTAGTAGGGTTAACATAGGGCGGGTTATATCATAGTCTGCGGCACAGAAGGTGGCTTGCCAGAGGTTTGCATGCAGGAGCCGACAGGCGCGGTTAGGTGTTCGTAGCGGAAGACATGTCCAAAGCAGGCGCCAAATCCAACTCACGTCCACCCACAAGCGCTGCAAGCGGAGGAATAAAACTTACGTACATTGTGTATGTTAAATGTTTATGTAGCATGTAAACTCACTTGAGTAGCTCCCATCAGTTGAATTCGGATAATTTAGAATGAACCAACACGGGCGAGAGTCAAGCGATACAGTACGTAACTCGTACATTATGACCTCGTTAGTCAAGGACTTCTTGTAATCCGAAGTGATGGGCCTAAGGCGGAGTCAACTTCAAAGGCGTACCGAAGGAGGGAGGGGGGAGGTCAATAGCCCCCCTCCTTCAGCTAATAAATCATTCCAAGTAGGCCATTTTTTAAGAAATGGAAAATAATAACGATAACGAAATAAATAAGAATAATAGCAACACTAACAAAGTAAACAATAACAAGTACAACAAAAATATTAAATATCTCTTACTTCAACAGTACTTCGGTATGTTTAGTTCAAGGTTCGCTTCCCCTTGGCAAATTTCTGGGTACGCTACTGGGCACCTTTCCCATTTTCTGCCGTTTTTCCCCCCCCACGAGTTTTCAATTTTTCTAGAGCGTCTCGCTCAGACGAAACGTATCGTTTCCACCCGATTGGCTTGTAACAATTCCGTGGTCAAATCGAGATCTATACTTGGGAATGATATTTATATAAAATAAATGTGGAGCCTCTTAAAATTTTATTTTAAAAGTATTCAGTAACCATAGTTTTAATTGCTCAAGTGTTTTTTTTTTTACGTACAGGGGGTATTCGCAAATACATCTGATACGTTTGTTTACACTGAGCGGTCTTTTTATGGCATCTATATCTGTTCCTCTGTGTGTGACAATCTTATAGAAAATTAATGCAAGAAATGGCGGGAAAAGCGTTTTAATGTAACGTCGAGGTGGTAGACACTTCGAATTGAATTTTCTGTGCTGTAAAGCCTACTACTATGACGGACTAGCATGAAGTATTTCTGACAATGACAAGAAAAATGGAAATGATGAAAATAAACTTTAAAAAGAAGAGCCAAGTCCGAAATTAGATCTAAATTGGATATGGAAACAATATATGGATACGCGGTAACTATACTGAAACGTGTTGTTAATTGGCAGACTTCCAAAAACTAGGTACTCTATAAATAAATGTAATGCTTATGACGAACGTCATCTTAAAGCGTTCACAGAATCTGCTCCTTCCATGAAGAACCAAAAAAAATTCATATATTTTCAGTTTAAGACCAGCCACCATGCCCGACTTTCACATTTCCACACAGAACGAGAGTCTTATGGACGAAAGGTCATAAAATAGAGCAGAATAGCCTCCCGAATGACTATAAGAGTATATACTGTACAGTATATAATAAGAACATAAGAATGGAGGAAACTGCAGCGGGCCTATTGGCCCATACTGGGCAGTCCCGTTTACACCCAACCCCTATTGCTCATATAAGCATCCAACCTATGTTTGAAGCAGTTCAGCGTATTCGAGTTAATATGCAGGTACTAACAATCAAATTAATTTGGCAGCTATTTCCCCTCCCCCTCCTGATTGGTTAAAATTTATATTCGTCTTTTGGTCACTCCACAAATTTATTATTTAATATTTGTTTTTCTTTTCGTTCTACATATTCTCGAAAATCATCTTTTCAGTTATCTAAATTAACGCACGAAAGCCAAGAGAAAATTTGCACATTGAACATGCAGTAAGTGCTATAAAGTGATGAGCGACATTC